ATTGGCCATAAGAATTGTAGGGAATTTGCATACCCAAGGGTATGTTCTGATTGTTATGTTGGTTAGCAGGATGGGATCTACTTGGTTCAGGTAGGAAGGGACTATTTTGTGGCTGAGACATGGTGTTTCTGGGGTAAGTAGGTGGGAAATTTGAGTTGGGTAACTGGGGGTTCGGAATGGGGATGTTATATTGGGGTTGAAATTGGAAGCCATAGTTAGGGTTCTGCCCTACTCCTCCTTGACTAGAGTGGGGTTGTGATTGGGGAATTGGGGATGAGCAATTCTGCATCTGTAGTTCATTAGGGTTTACAGCTAATTGGGAATTTGGGAGAGAGTTGTGGTAGGAAGGGGGTTTTGCGATAAATTGCTTCTTTGAGTTTGAGAATTACAATGCAAGCTCGGATGTTGAGTGTTGACAGGACTACGTAGGCCTGAGCTCGCCGACAATGGCGAAGTCAAATCCCCAAATATCAGAGGTGTTTCCGACGGTGAGTACAGCTTTCCACCACCGGTAATGGAAGTGCTGTCCCTTTCTGGTCTTTTGCCTCCATTAACAGCTTCTCTAAGTTCCCGCAGAACTAGGTCTTGATTTCGAAGGGCCTTCTCTTATCGAGCTTCTGATTGTTCTTTTCTCAGGTTTAAGCTCATCATATCAGCAGACATTTTTTTTAAAACATTCATCATCTCCGATATCTCCGTTGTCATGATTCACTGAGCCAAGATCTTGCTCTGATACCACTGGTACAGATTGGAATTAAGAAGAAGAAAGAAGCTACTGCTAAGAAAAGAAAATAGGCAAAAGATTGGATAATAATCATTGAATCTGAAGATTGTAAAACATAGAGATGTATATACCCACTCACTCACTATAGACAATGAGGATAACTAACTCTGTGGGTCCCGTATGACCTAAACATAATATAAATAACTCTTGTGGACTAAAGCGTAATATACTTGACTAAAGTGTAATATACTAACTTAACTCTATTAACTAATTTAAGCCTTAATGTACTCTTGACTCTGCCTCATGTACAGTCCTGCACTTCACTCGTATCAACTTCTCAATTGCTGAAGTAGTTGTTCTCGAGTCTTGAATGACTTTTCAGTTGCTGCTATTTAATTTTAGTAATTTAATATGAGGAGTAAGAATTTATTTTAGGGATATGTACACAAGGGTAATTTTATAAAAACAAATTGAATTTTTTCTTGATTATATGAATGGATACTTATTTTGGATCAAAATAAAAAAGCAAATTGGTCATGGACCGGATGAGTATCTTTTTTTGGAATTTCAAAATACTAAAAAGTACTTTGACCTCCAAAAGCTTGGCCAAACATGAAATTTTCCACAGTATCAGCTCCTCACTTTTTCTGTTTCAGTCGAACCAAACACGGTAGAAGGGCAAAATTACACCCCTTATCATTCTCTCCTCCTTTCACCTCACCTTCTTTCAAATGCAAAACCTAGTTGGACATTTCGTAATTCACTTTTACTGAGCTTACTGTAGCGATTCCCATGTTGGAATCGCCATGAAAATGGAAAGCAAGAATTAAAAAGAAAGAATGGAAAAAATAGTGAAAATGATAATCAATTTTTCATTCAAGATATGTTCACAATGAGCCCTAACAGAGTATAAAAGCGTGAACTAGCTAGTAGGGTAACTAATGAAAATAACATAAAAAGTAGGACTAAACTAAAAATACTAAAACTTCATCCTGACTTGGCACTTCTTTAGCACTTTAACATCAATGTACTACTTTGGGAGCTCAAGGTACCACCATTTCGTTAAATTCCATCCCCTTTATAGCAACCTTGTCCTCATGGTTGGATTTTGTTAACAGTGTGAAACCTCGTCTTCAACCTATGTAAAATCATCATCTGTTTCAAGGTTTTAGTCAAGTTAGCAAAAGCTAGAAGCACCAGTAGAAAGTCTTGGCCTAGCATACTCATTCTCCTGTTACTATACATGCAGCGTATGGCGAAACAAACTTTTCTCAGCAACTTATCGTTCTTATCACTAAGAACCTTCTCTTGAATATTTTTACCCAAATGATCATAAAAATCTGTCAACCTTAACCTTTGAACCGGACTTATAGCTTTTCCAACAGCTTCACCAATTTCCCTGTTACTTTCTTTACCAACCTCCTTAAAGGACAAAAATGTTTCACCAGTAAAATGCTTGCAAAAAACAGTTGCAATTTCTTGCTTATCAAAGATCACTCTACTGTAAAAATCTTCTATAGCATAGTTTACTCCAACTTGGACATAATCATAATGAGTTCTATTATGTGTGTCCTGTGAATAACCCGAAATCTGCAAAAATATGGTAAAAAATAGTAGAGTAGTTAATACTCTATCAATGAACTCTACGGGAAACATCTCTGCCTTCACTTCCTTAACTAGTGCACCCATCAAATGTTGAAGCATGAACAACTGTGTAAATCTTCTAACAACATGCACTACTCCAGTAAATATGCTACCAAAAGGATAAAACCCCAATGTATTTTCATTTCTCCTCTCAACAAGACCATAAGTAGAGGAGGTGGAAACACCCGTGTCAATATTTGCTACAGAGATCTTCTCTGATGCCTTCCACATTTCACTAACCGATACCAAATGAAACCAAAGAACCACAAATAAAATAAACAACCAATCCACTCTATGTCCGTCATAGTGCAGTAAACTTAAGATCCAACTAATTGAATGACAACCAAAATCCTTACTACTTCATTGCACTTCTTTGGATGGTCCACCTCACTGCCACCAAAAAGAATTGATGCAAAAGGAATAAGATTTTCATCATCTATTAACATGTATCTACTACCAACGATAGGGATAAATGCATTTTGGTTCAGAATCAATCTATACACTCCACCCTCAAAGTGTTGAAAGTCTAAAATACAACTGGGACCCATAAAAGATAACTCTTCTATCGGAAACATATCATAATGAAGTGAAGAATCATCGAGCGTGAACTTATCCATTCTATATGCTGGATAAAACTTGCAATCCTCTGTAAATTTAGAAGCAACACTAGCACCTGCCTTCGTTGAATCATTTTTCTTTTTTAACTCACTAGGCAGATCACAAATCAATCCAATAGTGTTGGAAAGGCCAAGAGCTCTAAATACATAAACACAATGGGATCCAGACGCATCAATATAACACCATTCTTCATTGGAACTTGTAGACACAACAAAAGCAATCAAATCAGCAACCTTGGCCTTCTCTATACATGCCAACTGTGTCATTTCATGAATACCCGGAATTCTGTAATATTTAAAGTACATAGCTCGATATTTCACCATATAATCTCTACTTACTAATCCTGAAATCATCCACCAAGGATCAGTTATACCACCACAACTAAAAACAAGTAAAAGAGCCTCAACATGCTCTAATATGTGTGGCTTCACATATATGTCAGTCCAAGGTACAAGTGATCCAAAAAACCTCATGCACATCATACGACTATTATACGAAGCAACAAGTGGTACAGGAGACACAAGCGCAATAAGAAGGTTCCTACCAATCATCTTGTTGAACATCCTGCTCCCTTTGTCTAGCCAGCTCATTTTGATATACATATATGTATCAGTCAAAATAATCTCCAACAAAATTAGGGGAAACTTACTAACTTTTAGACTTTGCTGAGTTTCAAACCAAAAGATATGAGTGCTGAAATTATCTTGGAGCCACATCTTATCAGTCAAATATGCTCCCTCATATGGATCATTGTAACTATGAAACCTGAGAGTGTCTCCAACATGAGTTCCAATTCTAGTAAATTTTTGCATGTAGCAGGTCAATTCGTGAAAAGTATTACGTTCGTTAGGTATCAAATCAGCCATAAACTCATCCATAGGACTCAACTTGACATCTGACTGTCTCAAATTATTAACCCCTTCCAATTTAGATGAAGTAACACATAATGGGGGAAGCTCAATAAAGCCATCACTGTAACTGTAGTTCAAGAAGGATGATATTACCAGGAATCTGGAACAATCTTCAGTGCCACACTTCCCATCATCATTCACGACCAAATTGCTCATCAACTCTCCTATGAAGCCGGAGCCCTCAAATGCCGCAGGGGCAAAATCTAAAAAAGGGACTTGGAGTTGTGGAATAGAAAGATTAAGACCTTTCGTAACAATAGCTGTGAAAAGCTGGCGAATCTTCTCCCACTCACTAGTGCCGTCAATGTCAGCATCATTCCCCAATGAAGGATAAGTGATTTTGGTAACATTACCACAGGTTATATAATCATCTGCAACAACATTGACAACAATATTAGAATATGCAACCCCTTCAAAATTTAATGCGATACAATCGGGAACCATTTTCAGTGAGAACAAGATTGGATGTGTAGGTGAGGTTCCATCTACTAATGATTGCTTGTCATCTAAAGCCCCCGCTTCCTCCTTTAGAGGAGTTTTGTCAAACACTTTTTCCTCATTTGGCTCTAACTTTGTATTATCCATCAGAGGACTTTTGTTGAACACTTGGTCCTCCTCAATTTCTGGGTTCCCGTCACGTTCATCTTCAACCTCAAAAGATGCATCTGAATAAGGAATATCCGAGATTTTGTTTTCATCTTTCAACTCGACTACATTTTTCGCTTGGTGTATCCTCATCTCCGTCACTTGGTTTCAAAACATTTGAGTCTGGGATGCTCATGGAAACAGTGGAAAATGATTCAAGGTCATTGGATACCAATTGTAGCGATTCCCATGTTGGAATCGACATGAAAATGGAAAGCAAGAATTAAAAAGAAAGAAAGGAAAAAACAGTGAAAATGATAATCAATTTTTCATTCAAGATATGTTCACAATGAGCCCTAACAGAGTATAAAAGCGTGAACTAGCTAGTAAGGTAACTAATGAAAATAACATAAAAAGTAGGATTAAACTATAAATACTGAAACTTCATCCTGACTTGGCTCTTCTTTAACACTTTAACATGAATGTACTACTTTGGGAGCTCAAGGTACCACCATTTCGTTACACTTGCACACAGACAGAGGACTTTAATTACTGTATTTACCTGATAAATATTCTGAAGAGCTGTGAATTTTGCGATTTAGGGTTGTGAAAATGCAGAGGTGTTGTACGTCTGCGGGTCGATCGGTGATAGGTAAACGATGGATTTCTTCATTGAACAACGATAAGATTGTGGCGTCGGTGCTGTTCGAGAGATTACCAGTTGTTGTTCCCAAAATCGATCCAACTGTATATGCTTTTCAAGAATTCTCGTGAGCTTTCGTTTCCTCTGTGTGTGTGTGTGTGTTTTTTTTTTCCGAAACAAGTGAGGTCAACTACATGAATCTTGTATAATGGTTATAGTGCTAACCGAAAGTGAAAATATGGCCTTCATGCTGTTTCATTCTTTTGATTTGTAAGTGTGATGAAGTACACGCAAGAGAGAATAGAGTGTGGGAACTGAGAAAAATATTCAAATTTTAGTGCCTTCTAATGGTAAAAGGTAATCTAATAATAATGTTGAGAATAATGAGGTCATCGATTTGGTTGGTAATGAAGATGTCAGCAACATGTGAAAATGAGAAGGCAAAAGAGAGCAAAGTTTCCTGACAAAGAGTTGGTGAATGACATATAGATACATTATTAAAGCTTGATCAGTGATTAGTTGATTGCTGTATTATTACATTATTATTAACTGTATTTATAGGTTTCGTTGGAGGCAGCAGTATCGGCGGGAGTATCCAGAAAGTTTTCTGAAGAAGTCTGATACCAGGTATAGTTTTTGTTGCATTGCTTGAATTACACATTGTCATTTTATTTGTTTCTTGTAGATTATGCATGTTTGTATGTAGATTTTCTCATAGGTGAATATGATACCAACAAATGGTACCAAGCTTCTAGGTGAGACTGCTTGAGGGCCTTCGAGAGATTTCGAGGTTTTCCATATTTTACTAATGTTTTTTTCCTGATTATCTGGCTTTCTCAAGTCTGAAATTTACTACTGAAACTAGTCTTCTCAATTTCTGATCCGTTCTGCAATACCAATCCTTCCTTTCTTCCCAATTATTGGACTTTTCCATAGTTAATCCACACAATGCTGTCAAGCATCCTAAGCCTAATTAGGACCTTAGGTTGTCAGCTGTACCTTACTCTGCAGGAAGACATGAATAGTTGTTGCATCCTGTATTGCCAAAGATAAAGAAATCTTTTTGGCATTCTTGCCTTATGAATTTTCCTGTGTTTGAAGCTTTGATAATAACTGTTTTGGGACTTCCTTGTGTTCTAGAAGCATATGAGTAAAACAAAAAATGCAATTTGTCACAAATTGTTCATACATTTATACATGTTGAAGCAACATGTTTACTCCAGAAAAAGATTAAAGGGCATAGTACTCTTAGGTGCTAGGTGCTGGTTTGGTTCTCTCTTCCTTCAAATGTGTGATGATTCATTTTGTGGCAAATGTAGCTCATCAAAGCATGAGGAGTTGGGGACCATAATAATTCACTGAACTCTGATTTTTCTGGATGGTTATGGAACCTTTATGTTGCCTTTAAATTATTTGGTTCGCGACCCCTAAAATATTCATAAATCTTATTATCTACTATTGTTTCCTTGCACTGGTTCAATATGCTGCCTTCGATGATGTTGTTGAGTCCCACATCGACATTGAAGGGGATGGTTGACCTCCTTGTATGGACTTTGGCAATCCTCGCCTCATGAGCTAACTTTTGGGGTTGAGTTAGGCTCAAGGTCGGTATTAGTGTAGGACCCATCCCGATTTTCTGATGTTGGGCCCCCATAATTGTCCATGCTCCAGATGTCCAGTCCGGGGCGTGAGAGGGGGTGTTGAGTCCCTCATCGACAATGAAGGGGATGGGTGGTCTCCTTGTATGGACTCGGGCAATCCTAACCTCATGAGCTGCTTTTGGGGTTGCGTTAGGCCTAAGGTCCATTAGTCAGATATCATAACGTCCAACATGTATAATGATCTTGCGGGAATCTTCAGAAGCATTTCTAAAATAAATTTGATTCTGGAGTAAGCAAATCCTATTACCTAAATATTCCATTTGCATTGATATCTCTAGTAATTTACAAGGTGATACTTAAGCTGGATTACCTGCCCTATATGAAAGAACGTCTGGTCTTTTCCAACTGCTTCTTCCATGACATTGGCCAAATAATGTATAACGGTGGTGTCTGGTCCAGTTTTCTTGTACCTCGACAATTCCACCGGGTACTTGCACTAGCATAGGTACCGGGTAACTTTGCTCACCAAGACTAAAGCAAACAGGAAGAAATCCCAAATATCGATGAGCGAGGTTTGCTCATTATTGTTTCTTTTAGGTGCTCCTGATCCTTTCTTCTTTTTTTTGGTATTTATTTGAGTTGGTGGATATGCAACAAATGGGAACTTGCTGGATTGAGTATGATAAATGCATCCATGAAATCTTAATTCAAGGAAAGACACAACTAAAGAACTTATCTGCTTGATTTCAATATCCATGACCTAAATAAGATAAACTACATAAGAAGGATACCGTGATATATTTTGTTAGTTCCATCCATCAAGAAGAATACCCTTTTGTACTGAGCACTATCTTAGCGCTTGCCGCTTGGCATTTTACAATTTGTATAGCTTTACTTCTTTATTTAATAGAGTAGTCAGAACGCAGAAGCGAAAAGCGCAAAAGGTGCTAAAGTTCATTCGGGCTTTAAGCGCAAAGCAAAAAAGTAAAGCGTGAGCTTTAGCGAAGAACCGCAAGGAGGAAAAAAAAAATAGAAATGTAATGTAAGAAAATGTAGCTACAAATACAAATAGCGTTTTCTTAACGACCAATGTATCACTTTGACAACTATATTTATTGTCTAGTTTTGTATCCTTAAAGACATAGCCAACTATGATGATGACACTCCTTGATACCTTGATGCCTACACTAAAGCGCCAGCTAAGCGAGGCGAAGCGCACAACCTGGACTTCATCGAGCTTCAGGGCTTGAGCATGCTTAAAGCTAGCATTTAATGATGCTGTTCCAAAAAAAAAAATGTGGTGCTGTAGAAATGGCCTAATTTCATTAAAATATTTCTAAATTTTTCCGGTTCTAAGGAATTGAGTTCTCTTCATGCAAACTTTGAACATTTTGGACGATAAACATTGCCCCTCTTTTATACATAAGAGCATTATGACCTATCTGATTTATACTCCTTGCTAGTGTAGTATTACTGCCTTTTCCTTTCATGCACTGTTTCTGGTTAGTCATTAATCATTGTACATGGTTGTTCTTTTTGAAATATCACGGGCGTGTGTACTAATCACAACCTTTTGTCTAGTTTTTGATCATTGGCCTTTCTGTCTACTATCGAATGCCACGTGGTCAACTGCGAGTGATATCTATATTCATATGCAGGGGAAAAGGTGATTACCAGATTGATTATAAGCCAGCTCCTCGAATCACTGAAGCTGATAAAACTAATGATAGAAGGTACCAATCTTGGATTTCTAACTTTATGTGAAACATTAGACAAAATTTTAAAATAAGACCATTATACTAGAATTTTTAAAAAAATATATTCAAGTGTTGATTTACTTATGCAGACTCGACATTTCCTGACAGTAGGCAATTATTGACTTCTAAATTATTTGCTAATAAATTCTTGACATTAACGTGCCTTAGTATTTTTATTTAAGTAATAGTTACTCCGGACTTGTCTAATGGAACATTAATTAATATTTTAGTTTTAGAATGAGAGCCATTGTCCTTTATCTTTTTCCTTTCTCCTTGAATGCCTTCTTCAACCCCCCCC